CCCTCACCCTTTTGGTTGCAAGTAACAGACAATTCAGCTCAAACTAGTTTAAGAAAAACAAGCCAGTGTGGTTGTAGTAATTCCAGCACTTGGAAGGCCAAGGCAGGAGGATTGAGTTTGAGGTCAGCCTGTACTAAACAATGAAGACCTATCTCAAAAAATAAACGGCCCAATGCCAGTGGCTCACTCCTGTAATCCTACCTGCTTGGGAGGCTGAGTTGGGGAGGATCACAGTTTGAGGCCAGCCTGGGCAAATAGTTTGAGACCCTGGCCCCCAATCTCCACAATAACCAGATCAGAAGGCCCACAGGCACTGCAACCTACAAAAGTAGAATTGGCTAGGTGAGACACTGAACTGATCATGGGTCACGGTTTCTGGATTCATGGATTTTGTTTAAAAAGAAAACAAAACAAAAACCCTTCAGAGTTGGGGGTTGTGGCTCAAGTGGTAGAGTGCCTCTCTAGCAAGCACCAAGCCCTGAATTCAAACCCCAGCACCTCTAAGTAAATAAACACACACATAAATGAGTAAGTACACAAACAAATACTTTTGAAAAATTTAACATTGCTCAGGGGGTTGGGGATGGGGCAGTTGGCCTGGTGCTTATGAGGCCCTGGGTGTTGTTCCCAGCATTGGAGGAAGAGCAAAGCAAAATAAAACAAAACAAAAAAACCAGACCAAAACAGACTGGAGGTTTGGTTCAAACAGTATGAGTACCTGCTTTGCAAGTGCAAAGCCCTGAGTTCAAACTCCAGTCCCACTGAGGATGTGGCTCAACTGGTAGAGTGCCTGCGCAAGGGCCTGAGTTCAAACTCCAGCAACACCAAAAAAAAGAGAAAGTATCAAACTCCAGTCCCACCAAAATAACTCAATAAATAAACAAACAAAAAACAATAGGGGGGAAAGGCCAGACTCAGTGGAAGTTAGACATTGGAACCTGGTGCTGACTCCTTTCTCTTTCCTGGCTGTGTCCTCTGGTTTGGTCCACACATGGGATGCTTTTCCCTCATAGTGGTAAAGATGATTGCAGCAGCTCTGCCTTCACAGCTGTGTCTTTTCTGTCAACTCTAGCAGATTGGAGTAATTGTTTGGAATGTCTTAGGTCACACACATCCCTTGACCAGTCACTGAAGCCAAGAGATGCCATGTGCAGTTGGGAGTGTGAAGGAAGGTGGCTGTCCCAGCAGGGAAATGGGTGCTGTTTTCATGGGGTGCTGAGAGGCTCTGTCCTAAAGTCTTAACGTGTCTTGATCTTTATTCTCCCCCAGTGTCATGTTGCTCTTCCTTACGGGTTGGATATTGTCCCTCCCTACTCAGAAGCATTCAAAGACGGAATCCAGCCAGAACTCCTTTGCAAGGCGACCTAGACTCCTCCATTTGGCTTCAGGGCACGGTTCCAGGCCAATGTTCTTCCCTTCCGTCTCTCCCTCATTTTCCCACTCTTCATTTTCCCTTGTCCTTCATTCCCTCCTTGCTCCCTTCCTTTCCTCTGTACATTACACGCACCTCTACCATTCCTAGAAATATACCCAAGTGCATGAAAACAGCCAGCAGAGTGGCTCAGGCAGTCATGAGCCTGCCCAGCAAGCATGAGGCCCTGAGTTCAAACCCCAGTGCTGCCAAAAAAAAAAAAAAGACAAAAATAGGTGTTCACACAAAAATCTCTATACAGTGAGTATTCACTACTCTCAGCAGTCAACACATGGAGACCAAGCCAGTGCCCATCCATGGATGAATGGGTACACGAAACATGGCCTAGCCAGACCACAGAGCGTCACTCAGTCATCAGAAGGAATGAGGTACTGCCTGGACAAACCTTGCAAACACGCTCGTGAAACCAGACAGGGGAGATTGCATTTATATGAAATGCCCAGAGTAGGGAAATCTATAGAGAATGTGGCTTAGTAGTTGCCAGGAGTTGGGGGGAAGGCTGAGGAGTGACCACTGATGGGAATGGGGTTTCTTTTTGGGATGATGAAAACAGAATTATGTAGGAAGATACTTGCATATTGAACTGTGCACTTGAAAATAGTGAACTTTATATCAATTTTTTCTTTTTTTTTGGGATACTGGTATTTGAACTCAGGGTCTCACACTTGCTAGGCAGGTACTCTACCACTTGAGCCACTTTGCCACCAGCCCCCTCCCTTTATTTTTTTATGTACTGGGGCTTAAACACAGAGCCTACACCTTTAGGCACTCCACAAACTCTGTTTTGATTTTTTTTTTGAGATAGGATCTTGTAAACTATTTGCCTAGACTGGCTTTGAACTGTGATCCTCCTGATCTCTGCTTCCCGAGTAGCTAGGATTACAGGTGTGAGGCACTGGTACCTGTGGTTTTTTTTTTTGTTTGTTTGGTTTTGTTTTGTTTTTTGGTGGTACTCTATTACTTGAGTACTCTACCACTTGATCCAGGCTCCCAGCCCTTTTTGCTTTTGTTTTTTCAGGTAGGGTCTTGTACTTTTGCTGGAGCTGTCCTCTGACCACAATCCTCCTACCTCTGCCTCCCAAGTAGCTAGGATTAAAGGTGCAAACTACCATGCCTGGCCTCAATATCAATGTTTTAAATGTTAAAAATGCCTCCCCCTACCTGAGTAAGTCAAGATCTCTTGGGCTGAGTTAGATGCTTCCAGCCTAGAGGGAGAGGCCATAGGTGTGCAGGCAGGTGGCTCAGCCATGAGCTAGGCCCAGGGTCAGGAGAGAGGAAATGTGTATAGAACAAAGAAGTGAAGAATTAGCTCAAATGGCGACTCCCAGCACCAGAGGAAGTAGCAGGGCTAGGAGAGCTGGGTTGGGTGACCAGGGTCAAGGAAAAGAAACACCACGCTCAAGGTGGCTGCCAAGGTAAGGCAGGATAGAGGGGTCCAAGGACCAGTGGCACAGCCCCACCTGGCCCCTCCTACCCCTGGGTGTCCCTCAAGGCTCTAATTCCACAGCTCTGCTCCTGGCACTACTTGAGTTCCCATGCAGAGCAGCTATGAGGGGCTTTTGCTCCCCTGGGCCCTGTTCCTCCTAGAGAAGGGGCCTGCCTCCTGAAGGGCAGCCACTGGAGATGACAGAGAACGGTGCCAGCTGCCTCAGGGAAGAAGATGCAGGACTTGGTTCCCTGACCTTGGGCTCATGGGTCAAGGGCACAGGCATGACCAGACCTTGGGGAGAAGCTACCAAGGAGGTTATGAAGCAGACAGGGCTCTGCCAGCCTCCACTCCCCACCAATGCCTCCCCTCTAGAGCCTCCCTTCCAAGATTGTGTGTCTAGTGATGACACAGCTGAGGCAGGGCCTAGGAACAGGCAGCCACATCGTTTGGCACTGACTTCCTGACAAGAGCAAAAAGGAACCATCTGGTGGCAGAGGCCCATCTGCCAGACCTGTCTGCTCTTTGGGTTCCTTTTGTTTGAGTCCTAAACGTCTGCTCAACCCTCCCAGACCATTTCCAGCCGGCACACGACTTGTATCCAGGCAACGGCTCTGGGCGCCCATTCATGCCTAACAACAGGGACCCCAGCCTTCTCTTTCCATTGCTTTTTGGCCCCTCCCTTGCACTCTGCCAATCCCCAAGCCTGCCTCCAAGAAGAGGAAAGGGTGTTCTGTATCTTGCCAAAGGGAGACTAAAACATTACCTTTCCTCAAGAGGCTTCTTCAGAAGCAATGTGACAACTGTCAAATGTCACAGCTCTGCAGATGAGCCTCATGCGCTCTGGAGATAAGGGCTGCAGGATGCAGCTTGGATACTTGTTTATCATGACTGGAGGGAGGCTGGGGGTTAATCTTCCCAGGCCTGGGTTTCCACAGCAGGGAGGGGCATGTTGCTGGCTGATGATATTTGGCTGGTTAAGTGCAAGGAGCTGGTGGGAGAGGGACTTGATCTGGTGCCACCCTGAGGGCTGACAAGGTACTGTGCTCCATGGACACTTCCTGAGTGGAGCTTGGGGAGGGAAACCAGCTCAAGTTGGGGCTTGTTTCTAACTCCTTCCTCAGAAGAGGCACCTATGAAACAAAGCAGCTTCTCCTGTGCTCAAAGGTGCTATTTCACTAGGCCCCACCAGAGATGTGGCTTGATGCCATTTCCCCACTGGAGAGGAGGTGGGGAGCAAAGGCTGGAATTGTTAGGTTACCTATTTATCTTTGAGTCAAGCCACAGCCATCAGCAGCTTGCTGCTCTCACACACTTCCTGGGTCCTGATGGCTGGGGTTTTCCAATCTTGGCTCTGGCACACAAGGCAGGGCAGCATGACCACTTAGGGCAGAAACCTAATGCTTAACCTGTGAGGGGCTTTCCCCAGGTGCCATGACATGAAAACCCTGCAGGCCTGACCTTACGAGTGCTCTGGGTTACAGGCAAACTTGAGTTACTGCGTGACTTGGCAGTGGCCACCACCAGCGACTCGAGCTTTGCAATACTTGGGGAGGCTGCCTCCTCCAGATGGAGAGGTCAGACTGGGACCACAGCACGTATACGAGCGGCTGTGCAGGGAGGACCAGGCATGCAGCCAGATGCTCACTCTGCAGCCCAGCTTCTCTGTGTAAGCTCAGGGCCCCTCCTCAGCATAGCAGCCTGGGAGGCCTTGGGAGGATTGGGGTGGGGCTGAGAGTTCCAGGGGGCTGGATGGAACCCCAGTGTGACCAGCCTTCCCTGGACACAGGTCAAGTAGGCAACATTCTTTGGCTGCTACCAGGAAAAAGAAAGTGGAAGACAGATTAAACTCACAAGTTACACTCAGAATTTATTTTTATTTCTCTAAAAGTTGTTTGTGTGCTTGATTCATACAGAAAAATCACAAAGCCTCCTGAATTTTCTGAATTCACTTCTGGACATCCCATATCCCGTTTGGAGTAAGAACTTCCTTCCGAAAAGAAGTTCCACCCAGAGCTGGGCCCAGCTACACAGCCTTGTACTTGTCCTCAGCCGCTCCATCAACGGGTACTCCCAACAGTCTGGCCTCACCAGAGGGCTATGCCTGACCTCTTGGTGTCTTCGAGGGCTGCCCACTGAGGGACTGAAAAGCCGGAAGACTCAGATCCTGACCACCTGCGCAGCCACACTCAGACTCTGCCTCCCCTCTCCGTCCATGGCTGGCTGCCTCCTGAGGTAGAGGCGTCCAAAAGTGCCACCCACCTGCCCTTTAGTGAGGCGCCCAGGATTCACACAGACACAGCCAAAGATGTCCTGGGAAGGAAAGGAGAAGATTGGGTGTAGATGCCTCAACTAATTGGGGACTGATGCAACAAAGTGGGAATGATCAGATGCTTAGACAACAGAGGGCTTTATAAAATGCAAACAAAGGCAACCAAACACATATTTAGTCTAATATGTTAACTTATTACTGGAAAACTGAATTCCTTTTGAATCTCTGGGACAGAATAAAGAATGAGGTGACCTGGCAGGATGACAACCAGTCTCACACTTGGAGTCAAAGCTGATCCAGCTGTTTCTTGTTTTCCCGCATAAAGAATTCACCGCTTGAGATCAGACTGGCTCTGATTTGGAAGAGGGACTGAACCCAAGGTAGGCAGGTCCTTGTGGTGGCAAAGAGTAGAATGACTCGAGAGCTTCTTCAAAGTATTCTCAGCTGACCCCGTGGGGAGGTCCTATCAGAATCCAGGTCAGGTCAGGGCACATGTGCCATGATCCTAGCTCATCTTGACACGACCCAGGTCTGGGAGAACCACTGTTAGGGGCCTGCCTAATTCCCGCTCTCAGAGAGACACTGCTTACTCAAGTTGTATTTGTTGTATCATTCCACCACCTTCCCCAAAGCAATGAGGCTCCAGTGCTGGGTCACAGAGACCACTGTCCCCAGCAGCAGACCAAGGAAGGTGAGTGCTGGATCATCTAAAAGGGAAAGTCAAGAATGACTTTGGTGTTTCTGGAAAAAAGCCAGTTCAAACCTACCTTCACAAAGTACCTCAGCTCTGATGGGATTACGAAGACATCTGGGGTGACCAGCAACTGTGCATAGGCATAGAAGTTCTCATAGTCAATGGCCATATCCTCATGGGGTGGGTAGAGTGGGTAGTAGCTGGAGGGATGAGAGAAGCAGTCAACAGCAGCTGATTCAGGGACCCCCTGCCCAACAGGCTCCTGGCCACTTCTGTGCTACTTGCATTTGGGGGGAAAGAATGCATGCTTGTCAACACAGGGTGAAATTCCCTGGTAGTGACTTGGTGAAGGCTCTGAAAGCAGACCTCCCACAATTCTTGTGATTCCCAAATCACTCTTCCTGGTTAGCTGACTGCAACCTGAGAGCTCACCTCCTTTGTGTCAAGATGTGCTTGAGTATTCGGCTGAATCTATCTGAAGTTCCGGAAGAACTAGGAAAGGAAAGACAGCAAGAAATGGAATGCAGAACATTTTTTCTGCCATTTCTCTTCAGGGAGGACTGGTACCTAAAGAGAAGCTAAATGGCCAGCATGTAGCAAGAGCAAACCTTTTGGCTTTGAGAGTCACTGTGAGCAGCTGCTCTGCTCCCCGTGACAGGCAATCAGGGCCCTGAGCTGAGAGGGCAAAAGCAGGAGTCCTGGCGATCACGATCAAGGAAGGCCTCAGTCAGCACCATGTATGCAACAGGATGCCATCTTGGCACCACCACAGGTGACATGCAGCCAGTCGACCCTGAGTCTCAAACCTTAGCCAAAAGCACACACCCATCTCACTGAACTGACTCGCTCCATTCTCCATCCCATCAAGGAAAGTGGAAGAACCAACTGCCAAGCCTCAACCCCACAGACAGGGCTGTGTCTGATTCTCTGAGGCTATACATCCACTGTTCTGGTAAGAGAAAGCTCTCCAGGGTCCACCTGTAGTTCACTCTCCACAAGGAGGAACATCTATTTGCTCAGGTCACAGACTGGGGAGATGAAGAAAAGGGGAGCAAAGAGAAAATACTGATGGATTTCTGTGCCTACATGTTAAGTACCAAGACTCAGAACAGATGTGGTTCTTTGGAGTTGCAAACACTGGGTAGACAACTGACAGAAACAAATTCATTCGACTGCTCCCCTTGGGTACAGAGATTCAAAAGGCTAAACGATTTGGCACAGTGTGGCTACTAGCCCCATCCTGTCTTGGTGACAACAGGGCCAGGACCTGGGAGACAGCCATCCTGCTCAATGGCCTGCAATACACTTCTTACCTACTGATCTCCTCGGCCCCCATATGGAACAGCAGGTCTGTGGATGTCAAGCCAAAGATCACTCCGTTTATAGAGAGGCTGCAGGGCTCTGACACGAACTGTACTCGCTACAAGAAGGGGATGACATAAGCATTTGCACAGAATAGTGGAAACTTCTTCCCATGAAATTCAGGTGTGTCTAAGGGCCAGGGAAACCACTGAAAGGGACCAAAACATGTTCAGCAAACTTACAACCACCTTTGTCTGGTAGAAAAAGGAACTTAGGAGTCAGTCAGGCTGTGGGTGTGCCTGAAAAGGCCTCCCCCATATCCCCACTGGGCTGGGCCAGCTGCCTGTGTTTCACTGCAATTTAAAACCTTTTTTTTAGCAGTATTGGAGTTTGAACTCAGAGCCTCTTGCTTGCTTGGCAGGTGCTCTTCCACTTGAGCATTGTCCCCAGCCCTCTGGCTGTATTCTGGATGCCTGCTGGGCCCACTGGTACCTTTCTGTCCTCTCGAGATAGATCAGAGTAGATGAAAGGCGGCTGCGGGTACACGGGCTCATGGTGCACATCCCTCAGGGATGGGACAAAGACAAGGTGGGAGCCAGAGCTGCTTTGTCAAAACACAAGGGGAAGAAGGACAAAGTGAGTGCAGTGGTACACAGCTGGGTTTAAGGCATGAGAACTTCCTTCATAGCAACCCTCCAGAAGGACTTGGAATTGCACTCCATTGATGAGACGAGGCTCCCTAGGATCCTGAGAGGGAAAGGCCATTCGCTTTCATGTACACATGTCCACCTACATTGGCCCACAAAGCTCAGGACACACCATCCCTTGCTCTTTGTGGGTTCCACTGGGGACAACGAAAACTACTGATTGTTAGGAAAAGGAGAGAAGAAACTGAGACCTAGAAAATCTAGACAGCCAGGCCTGGTGGCTCATGTCTGTAATCCTAGCTACTCTGGAGGTGGAGACAGGGAGCCCAGTCCTGGCAAAAAGTATAAGGCCCCCATCTCAACCAATGGCTGGGTGTGTGTGAGTGCCTGTTACCCCAGCTATTGGGAAGTATAAGTAGGAGGTTCTCCTACTCAGGCCGCCCAGGCATAAAGAGAGAGACCCTATCTCAAAAATAACAAAAAACGAGCTGGCGGAATGGCTTGAGACTCCCCTAGCATTTCAAAGATCAAACCAAAACCTCTCAACCAGCCAAGTGCTGCACCATGAAAACAGACACTTTCAGAGGGACAGGGAACATGCTGGGCTTCTCTGTACCAACGTGTCCCTTCCAGCTCATACTGCAAAGGGATGCCCTGCTTGCTCACACTGGGAAAGGATGCCCTGCTTGCTCACACTGGGAAAGGATGCCCTGCTTGCTCACACTGGGAAAGGATGCCCTGTTTCTACTTCTCAGCAGACCAAAGTGAAAGAAAGAAATACTTAATAGCAACAGGAGTGGCAGAGAAGATAACAGATGTTTCTTTTGGTGGTGGCAGAAGGAGACTCTCTAGGGTTACAACATGAAGTGAAGGAGAGAGGTGTGGCACTTGGGGCCAACTGTTTATTTTCCCCACCACACAAAAGAGGAAAGGGAAAACCCCATTTCCTTGGTTCTCTCAGCTGTCCTTGGCAGAGGGGCCTATTATAAACCAAACAGGAGTAAACTGTCACTGTGGGGGCATGTTTAAAGCTGCCAACAGTTCTTCTGGCTCTGTCCTCTTGCTTAAAATGTGGCCTTCCCAGGTGCAGAGTGTGAGGTGTTGGTGACTTGTCACTTTGTCACTTGCTTAACATGTCTACTTGAAAGGCAACCCAAGACTGCTGCAACAGACAAATTAGAACCTTCAGACCAAGGGTACTTTGCATATTAATCACAATCCTTTCAATGCTGAGAAGTTCACTGTGATTGTCTATGTTCACTGTTTGGGTGCTGGAGTCTGATGAAGAGGCTGAGGGTAACTTGAATGGGACAATCTGTGTTTAAGGTCCCAAGGGCTTGAAGTGTGTGATGATACAAAGTACCAACATACAGCTGGCTGCTGTCAATGGAGGGAACTGCTCTGTTTCAGTGAAGGCTTCGGAAGAGAAATGGTTAAGAAGGAAACGGCCTTTCCGCTCATGGTTATAGGGGAGGGGTCAGGGAGAAAATTCCAACTATGTGCAATATTGCACAACTTCATACATCATGGTGGGAATGTCTCAGCACTGCCCGCTTCAACAGACAGACCAGCACTCGGGCTCTCCTCTGATGTTACAGGGGAGCTGGCATTTTCTCACTGGCTTTGGCTCCTACTGATAAATGAGCTCAGTGCTTTGCATTTCTGACCTCGCAGGAATAAAAAAGAAATTCCCCATCCAGGGACCATTTATATACTGTTTCTGGAAGGGTGGGGCAGCCTTCCAGAAGCCTTTGCCCTGCCCTATGGCACACACTGGCCACAGATGAAAGTGCCTGGTGGTGCTGGGCACCCACCCCCAGGGTAACAAGGCCTGGTCTGTTCTTTGTTTGTCCCACTGCTGTCAATACCACATGGGGCAAGGAACCCAAATCAGCCCTGTTCCTGCTTTTGGGTGGGGGGTTATCTCCTGAGTTTTGAGCACTCTCCAGATCTGATGAACTTGATCAAGGTCATGAGAAATCTGGGGAAGAAGAGGGAAGACACTTGCATCCCCTTCATTTGAGGGAGGGAGAGAGGATACACCCCAAATCTCCCAGTTCCAGGGTGAGCTGGGGCACTCTCTATCTGCTCCAATGCCTACCACATTGGCCTGTGCTGCCGGTATAAGAAGGTAGTGTTACGACTAATCAACTCTGAGATCAGTTCTCACAGCCAAAAGACGGAACATTATACATCTTGTTTAAAAAACTACCTTTGTTACAGACTTGTTTTTAAAAGCTCAGCCTCAGGAACATTTGATTTTTAATGAGCTCAGCGACAGATGAGTAAATCCCAGGAGGAGCTCTCCCACTATTCCATTTTCTTTCAGACCCTGGCACTGAAGGAAAGGGACAGGAACTGAGGTGTCAGCTTCCTGAGTAACTCTCTGCTTCTAGCTTTAGACTCTTCCTGGAACCGTGACTTCCCCCTCATGTTAGAACCCCACAGGCCTTACATCACTGCTGTGACCTTCATAGTCCCTTTCCTCAGGGCTATGGCAATGATTCAAGATCCCCACCCTCACTAGAGTTCCTCTAACCTTGGAAGTGACCCACCTAACCCAGGGAAGCAATGACTCACACAAGGAGAGGTTTGGGGCCTCTAAGGATTTTGTTTTCAGTCACCAAACACTTCGCTTCTCAAAACCATCCTGGGAAGATTCCCATGGAATGCAAGTTTATACAAAAGGGAGCGAGAAAGGGAAATAAAGAGAAAGAGCAAGGGAAGATGAGTTTATATAGCTTTTCCTTCCAAGAGTTTGTTTTTCCTTGTGATTTACAAAGACGCCTCTTCACTTGGTGTCTACACACTTGAAGTTCAAGGGTTCTAACTGATCTTGTAGTTCAAAAGGACAAAAAGGACAGGAACTACCATTACTTTTAAACAGATTCAGTTTCTACTGGGACACCCTGGAAGAACCTAGAAGTTTCAGGGTCTGTCCAGCATTTGGAATTCTGACCTTCTTGTCCCTTCAATAATTGTTCGCAGACATTGCTTGAAAACATCTTCAAATGGACTTGTCAGTAGACAGTTCTGCAAGAAAGGAGATGGAATTAAAGGGTACCTGTCTGGTTTCATTCACTTATTATATGGCCCTGAGATGTTGTGCTTGGAGTTGAGAGAGATATAAAGATAAAAAGATGTGGTCTCTACCTGTGAGAAGCCGAGTCTAGGTGAGGTCAGGAGAGGAGATGAAGGAAAAATTAATCCTTGAATGCAAGCTGAGAGAGACTAAAAGGATGACTGCTTTGAAATCTTTTCCATAGGAGGTAAAATATCCTGGGACAAAGGTTAGGAGATCCTGGCCCTTGGCCACAAAGCTATCCCGGGGAGGGCCATTTGTGTTTTATGCATCAAAGTACAGCAATATATGGGTTACCAGCTTAGGGTAGTGGCCACATAAGAGACTTTCACAGTCCAGCTCCATATCCCAGGGACACCTGCATTTGTGTTTCTGCTGAGAGTCAAGTACCACAAAGGGACTGATATATTTCTGTATTCTTCCCCAGCTTCCAAACAGCCTTGATTCTGGTGAAACAAAGCCCCCAAATTCAAGAAAGGTATGAAAAATGTCCAGTTATAATGTGCTTCTGATTAGCCACAGGTTTGTTAAATGAAAATAAAAGTGAGGATTTGACTAGATGCAGGTATCCAGGCCTCCTCAGCACTCCATCCCCAGGACTTACCTCCACCTGTTCATGCTTGGCATCCAGGAAAGGACCAAACTGCAGACGAGCCAGAGCCAAGGGGGAGAAATGAAAGTACCGAGAAAACAAATCAGAATCACACATTCTCACAAACACCTTTAGGTAATTTACCTCTTCTCTTCTAGGGCTAGAGGAGTGGCTCAAGCAGTAGAGCACCTGCCTATCAATGAGATCAAACCTCAGTACCCCCCCCACCCCCAAAAAAAAAAAACCAAAAAAGACAACTTCTCTGCCAGGGCCATCTGTCCCTCTAAGACTGCCTGGATAGCCAGGGATAGTTAGCAGATGGGCAGGGGTCACTTAGCCAACTTCACAGGCAGAAGCACCTGAGCCCTGAGGGAGGCTCTGAGCACTCCATAACTCCTATCACTACCCTCTATGCTGCTGGGCTTTTTCTGACTTTCTACACCTAGCAAGAGCAATGGAGCACCATGCTAACAATAGCACTTTGTGTATAAAAAGAGATTAATTCAGAGGTTGGAGAAATCAGACAGTGGCAAGGATACGTTAAAATCAGGGCTGGTACAGTGGCTCAAATAGTAGAGTGCCTGCTTAGCAAGTGTGAGACCCACAGTTCAAACCATAGTACCACATAAAAAAAAAAAAAAAAAAAAAAAAAGAGTATTGTAAAATCAATGATGGGAGGGGCAAAAAAGTTGGGCATTTAGATTCAGAGAAGGCCTATAGATCATGTACACTTCTCCAGAGATACAGATTAAGATCTAAATTTCTTTACTTTTATTTTTTTTGTGGTCCTGGAGTTAGAACCCAAGGCCTCATGCTTGCTAGGCAGGCACTTTACCACTTGAGCCACTCTGCTAACCCAAAATATTTAAGGTCAACTCCTGTTTTCCCATGGTTGTCTACCCACACAAAGCTCCCAGGGGAGTTCCTACCAAGATGCAGACATCCGGCCGGTCATGGTTGATGATGGTGATCAGGTCGAGCAGGGGGTCATATGTTATGCTGTCCGATGTGGTATATGGCCCACAGGCAAGTAGGACCATAGTTTGCTCAAAATCTAAGACAGAAAGGATTGGCAGGGTTATGATTAGAAGACTGATATTGGGATGTTGGGAGAAGGAAGGGCCATTAGAGTAAAATGCCCAGGATTCACTGCATTGAGTCTGTATGCATGCACTCTGGGGGTCCAAGCTGAGGAAGACCTCACCTGTGCCCTCCAAGAACATTGAACTAGATGGAAGACGCAGGCAGGTACCTGGGTAACTAAAGCTGTAGCAGGCACTTTCCTAGCAGTGCACCCGAGTGAAGTGAGGAGAGTGGCAGTCAGGGGAGAATGAACAATTGTGAGAGGGGCTCACACTTTAGAGAACTTTCCAGGAGCAAGGGCAAAGCAGGGTATAGGAGAGCCCTGAGACTTGAGTGTGCCCAGTGTGAGACCATCTGATGGTCTAGTGTGGCTGGAGAATGTGGGGTACTAAAACCCAGACAGGCAGGCTGGGTTGAAAGGCCTGGAGTGGGGGACACCGAGTGCTGGGTACAGGGAATGTACTGTTTTTTTATTTTATTGTTTTTACATTTACTTAGAAGTGTGTACACTGTTTGTGCCACCTCCCCCTCTGTACTATTCTCAATCGCTCTTTCTCTACCAGTAGCTGTTCTCCCTTTAGAGTCTAGGTGGGGCTGTAATAGGTGCTCTGTCTGGCCCCAGCCAAGGGACAGGCACACAAGCAGGCTTAGTCCATTTATACCTTCCTCCTGAGGTCTGGAATCTTGAGGAGTGCTGTCAAGTGACAGAAGAAAGGTTGGAGCTGACCAATCCAGCTGAGGTTCCTGGATGACTCAGCTGGGAGATCTCTGCTACCTGGACACTAAAGCTGGCAGGCCATTGTCTAATCCTCTGTCTAGTCCACCAACAACCTGGATTTCCTTGAACAAGTTCTCTTTTTCTTAAGTTAGTCTAAGCCAGTTTCTATGGCTTACAACAAGATCCATACAGTTGCAAAGTTTCCTACTGTTGCTAAAAAAATTATCTAAAACTTAGTGGTTTAAAAGAAATGTCTTATCTTACAGTTCTGGAGATCAAAAGTCCTAAGATCAAAGTATCAGCAGGTCTGTGCTTCTTCTGGGGGCTCTAGGGGAGAACTATTTCCTTGCTTTTCTAGCTTCTAGAGGCCACTTGTGTTACCTGGTTCCTGGCCCCATCCTCCATCTTCAAAGCTAGCAGCCTTTCTACTCACTGGCTCTGATCCTCCTGCCGTCCTTTCTATCGGAGCCTAAGCGATTATATTCAGCGTACCTGGAGAATCCAGGATAATCACCCATTTCAAGATCACAAGCAAAGTACTTTTTACCACACAGGGCAACATGTTCACAGGCTCCAGGGATCAGGAGCATCACTGTCCAGTCCATGAAATGAGCAGCGCTCAAAGAGAAGGGGGAATTCCATGTGATGGTGGGGCAGGGACAAAATTCAGTTTGGTTCTAAGGTGCCTGTAGGAGACGTAAGCCCCACAGGAAGTAGGAAGTGCAGGAAGGGCAAGGTGCTTGTCTCAAATCTCTGTGGGTGACTAGCTTAATTCTTCGTACATAAAAAATGCTTCAATAACTTCCCTGCCACAACTCAGGCTCCTGGCACCTGTCATGTCAATTTCTTTTGATTACTTGAAATTGATTGAATACCCGTGCCACCCTTTCCCCAATACACACATTTCTGATACACTGCACAATGTCATGACCTCCTAAATTTCGTTTGTGATTGTAGGTTGTCTCCAAGAATGACCTTTACACTCTTTACGTGTTCAGGGTTTTGGCAACATGCCAGTACTGGCACGCACCACTAGTCATTAGTGGCATCCTACTTTGCTTACAAAATGCTTAGAAATATTTTGAAGCAAAGTTGGTCACATTTCTTTTTGCTTTTTCTCATTTATATTAGATGACAGCTTTCTTAGAAATTCTTTTTTGGTAGCCTTTTTTATTTTAGCATAACTTTAGAATTGTAAAAAGTGGCAAAGACAGCACAGAGTTCCTGTGTATCTTTCACCTAGACTCCCAGAACATTAACATCTTACATAAATAAGGCGCATTTGTTGGAACTAATGCTGGTGAATTACCATTAACTAAATTCCTAGCTGTATTCAGACGTCACAAGTTTTCCACAACTGCCTTTTTTTCTTCCAGAACCCAATTCAGGATTCCAATAGGTTCTTTTTTAAAGTACAGACCTTTTTCCTTTTTAAAGTAGTCTTGAAATTCCTGTTAAACAGTCATCTCTAAAGGACATGCTTTGCTCACACTTGTAATCCTAGCTACTAAGGAGGAAGAGATCAGGAGAAGCTCAGTTTGAGATGAGCCCCAAGTAAATAGTTTGTGAGACCCTATCTTGAAAAAACCCATCACAAAAAAAGGGCTGGCAGAGTGGTTCAAGAGTGGGGCCCAAAGTTCAAACCCCAAAGCCTCCAAATAAATAAATAAATAAACAAAGGGCATGCTTTATGTCATTAGAGGCCCGGTGATAAACACTAACAGGGCTCAGGAAGCTCAGATCCACTTACTCTCTGATGAAGAGTCTATAAGACCACTCAGCATCTGTGTCCTTACTAATTGGCCATGTCACTTTTAAACAGCTTTTACAGCTTCATTGGGTCTGTGAAACTTCATTCCTGGAAGCTTGTCCACCATCCTCACTTTTGGCAAAACGATTTTAACCAAAACTTACCTCCATTTTCTTCGGTGGGCTGGTAAAATGGAAGTGGCACACCCTTAAAACAGGAGAAAGCTCAAGTGAGTCTTGCTCCAGCAATCACTTTGGTGGGAGAGGGGTGGGCTCTGAGCATTTGCAGGTGTGCAGTGGGAGGATGGAGAGGAAGGGAGAGAGAGAGGGGAAGGGTACGCCTTGGTCTTTTCTAAACTGCTCAGAGGCAAAGCAGCCCAGGTAAAGGGAAGTCACTGCTAAAACTCTCACACAACACCCAGCAACAAGGGGGAGCAAAGCAGGTACCTAAAACATCAAGTGTGGGAGAAGGTGTCCTGCTACTTTTCCTGGCATTCTACAAAAATCTCTGGAGGACTGTTGCCTAGATCTGGGATTGGTAAATTACAGACTGAGGCCAAATGTGGCTGCAGCCATTTTTGCAAATAGGTTTTATTGAAACTCTGCCACACTCCTTTGTTCAGTTGGCTATGGTGCTTTTGTACTATGTAATGGCAGAATTGACTCACTGACAAAGACCTATGGTCTAAGCCATTTGCCATCTAACTCTTTACAGAAATGATTTGCTAATTTATAACCCAGAGTAGGTTCCCACTCTAGAGGCAGAGTTGACTAATAAATAAACAGGTTCTCCAAAAGGACTGGTTTCTAGGACACAGAACTGCACATACTGTGCCTGGGGCAAACAAGGAAGAGAGGAGGGGGGCCTACCCGTACCTCATAGAGTTTGGTGGCAACAAGTTTTCTACCAGTGGTATTGATTCCTTCCATAATTACAACCTGAAAGACAAGAAACAAAACAGGATTGCTAAACGGGGGAGATAAATAAGAGGTCTGGAATAAATTATTTCGATGTAGTTAAAAGTATGCTGTAACCATAAACTTACAGCATTTTTCTAGAAAAGAAATTAACAGGGCTGCTTAGTAATAATTACACTGTCTGTACACAAATGATCTAATTCTCACAATAATCCCATGAGGTAAGAATTACTACTTGCATTTTATGGATGAAGACACTGTGGCTTACAAGCCACACACCTCGTGCGGTAGAGCTGAGATGTGAACCTGGGCCGTTGGACCAGAGCCAAGGTCAGAGCATACAGGGGAAAAACTGGAATCTCTACAACGGTGTCCTTGGGCTATGCATGGCAGAGAGATGGGAACCAAGATGCAGAGGACCCCCACACACTACTCTTAGGTGTAAATAGCACTTCTACATCCTGGTGCAGGCTCCTCCATCCTCACCTGTCCAGGAAACAGAGAATATTCTTTGAGCTCAGATAAATCCACTGGAACTTGAACACCTGAGGAATGTTCCCGGTCTCCCTCAAGAATTACTGACTTGCTGTTCAGCTTCCCATTGCTGTCACAGCCAATCTGGCCCAGAAGGGTGACAGGCTCCTACCGAAGGAAGGGTGCAATATAAGAATTAGTCTTTGGGACAAGGGCACAACATCTGAAGCCAACAGGCTGAAGAGCAAAACAAACCTCAAATCACACATACTTTTTTTGGAGGGGATCACAGTATTACCACTGATATCAGTGATATCATGGGGCCCACCATGTGAGCCCCTCTAAGAGGCTGACTAAGCGTGGGCATCTCCAGCAAAGGGGGATTTACTGCCATCCCCTGCAGCTCACAGCACCTTTGGAAGAGCTACAGCTTAATCATAGTTCACTTTTTTTTTTTTTGGCTAGTAAGGAGAAGCTTTATTTGAAAGAATTATTACAAGTGGGGTAAAAGTTACTGCAGTAGGAAGAGGGGCTATTCCCTGACTGTGGGGAAGTGGAATAGTTCATATTTATTGAGCCTACTAAATGCTGGACACTGTCCTAAAAGCTAATATGTATTAACTCATGCAATCCTCACAACCATGTGGTGGATATTATTGTACCATTTTACAGATGAGGAAAATGAGCAGCAGAGGAGTGATAATTTAGCCAAGGTCAAATAGTGGGTAAAGCCTGGGTTTGAAGCCCAGAAGTTTGACTCCAGAACCGTATCTTTAGCCATACATCATACTTCCTCTTGATATTTCCTCTCCTCTCCCTTCCTCCCTCCCTCCATTCTTCCCTCCTTCCTACTCATTTATAGAAAGGGTTTCACTATGTAGCCCAGGCTGTCCTTAAACTCAAGATCTTCCTCCTGCCTCAGCCTCCTGAGTACTGGGATTATAGGTATGCCCCACCACATCTGGCTCATTTTGCCCAGTTTTTAAAAGTTGAGTTGTACCCTCATATGTGGACATCAGATCAAGGGCAAACACAACAAGGGGACTGAACTTTGATCACAAGATAAAAGCGAGAGCACACAAGAGAGGGGTGAGGATAGATAAGACACCTAAAAAATTAGCTAGCATTTGTTGCCCTCAACGCAGAGAAACTAAAGCAGATACAAACAACTGAGGCCAATAGGAGAAGGGGACCAGGAACTAGAGAAAAGGTTAGATCAAAAAGAATTAACCTAGAAGGTAACACACACGTACAGGAAATTAATGTGAGTCAACTCCCTGTATAGCTATTCTTATCTCAACTAGCAAAAACCCTTGTTCCTTCCTATTATTGCTTATACTCTCTCTTCAACTAAATTAGAGATAAGGGCAAAATAGTTTCTGCCAGGTATTGAGGGGGTGGGGGGGAAAGGGCAGGGGCAGAGTGGGTGGTAAGGGAGGGGCTGGGGGGAGGAGGGAAGAAATGACCCAAGCATTGTACGCACATATGAATAATAAAAAAAAAAAGTTGCATTGTAGCCGGGCACCAGTGGCTCATAGCTGTAATCCTAGCTACTTAGGAGGCAGAGATCAGCAGGATGGAGGTTTGAAAGCTAGCCCAGGCAAATAGTTCTGTGTTATCTCGAAAAAAAACATCACAAAAAAGGGCTGGTGGAGTGGCTCAAGGTGTAGGCCCTGAGTTCAAACCCAGTACCACAAAAATAAAAAATAAATAAATAAATAAGTTGGGTTGTTTGTCTTAATATTGATTTGGAAGAGACCTGCTTATATTAGAAACAGGAACCCTTTATCAGGTATGTATTCCTCAATCTTTAAATTTTTCTTTTTGAGACAGGGTCTCGCTATGTGTAGTCCAGGCTAATGTGAAACTTGTGATCCTCCTGCCGCAGGCTCCAGAGGGCTGGGGTGATAGATGTGTACCATCGCACCTGGCTCCATACTGCCTCTTACAGGAAGCTCTTCATGAGACTGAGCTGAAATCTCTTTTCCCTCTGTTTTGTCTCCACTCTTGGGAGCTAACAGGAAGTCTAATCTTTTCCACATAATTGTACATCCCTGCCCAACCCAGTACTTCCTCCCAAGTTCTCTAAAACTTCCTCATAGGACACAGTTTTGTGCATCTCCTTCCCAAACTGCTTACTTTTCCCTGGATGAAAACATATTTATCTTACATACCTCAAAGAATTTTGTAAAATATATCTCCCCTTAGGTTAAAAAAGTTCTAGAGAGAAAATGTAGGCACACATACCAGATTCAAAGCAATGATGTAAAGATAGTATCAGCAGCCACTGATCTATAATGACAGCTATCAAACTAGGGGAGTCACTGTCTAGGCAATGAGACTAGAAATCACATTCTTGCTTCTGTCCTCATCCTGGATACCAAAATGTGTCTGTCTGTGGAAATTTCCAGGGTTACCTGCCCACCACTAAGCAGATGAAGCCTTAAATCTTTACTTATATACAAGACCCAAATCCAAGTGGGAAAAAAATAACTCTGGTCACAAAACTAGGAAGCACTTATAAGTCTTTCTTACCAAATTCAACCCAGATGGGTATTCTAAATAGAACATTAGATAGTGGAAAAGGCTGTCTTTTCACCATTGACTTAAAAATGTGGTAATTAGAACTCTTAAAACAAGTCTTACTTGAGCTGGGACAACAAGAGGAGTAAAAGCCTCAATCTTGTAATGTTCCTTGAGTTCACTGCCAAGCTCTTCCATCTTACATGTCAGAACTGCAATCCCAAGGTGGAAAAGTGTCATATTTAAAACATTTCACTTGCCAAGAAGAGAAAACACAGCACACTGTAAAATATCACAGTCATTTTATAGGAGCAGGGAAGCACCTTGACATCTGGCCAATTTGAACCTTTTAAAACCCTAACCAAGGGGGTGGGGGCAGGGGGGAGAAATGACCCAAGCATTGTATGCACATATGAATAAAACAACAAAAAATTAAATTAAATTAAATTAAAAAACCGTAGCCAATTTTCTGATATCTGGTTGTTAAATCTGGTCTTCTGCTCAGCCTCAGGAGATCACATGGCAGCACAATCCTGGGACTCAAGAGTGAATCCTTCCCCTACCCCAAGTCTTTCCTTTACTCAGGTCATCAGTGAAGTTTTGGGGAAGTCAAGGTTAACCCTTGAGAGTACTTCAAAGGAAAAAGCCATGAATGTCCTCATAAGTGGAATTCCTTTACAGTTTGAGTTTTCATGCCTGGGAATGGTTATGTGCTTTTTCTGGGACTGGGGAGCATCACCCAATGTCCTTCTGCTAGTAGAGCCCCATGAGGACATGTACCAACTTAAATCTTCAAAGCCAACCTGGGAACTTGTTCTACCAGCTTAGCTGAGGCTTTGTTACTTCTCTAAGCCCTTACAGAAGATTTTATATCCTCCAGAATTTCCAAGAGAAAAACAATCACCTTCTCGAACGTCTTGGAGTTTCTGAAACATGGACTTGTAGCTCCCAGTTAGTGGTTCTGGATACCCAATGACCTTCAGGCTGATGTTTCCAGCGCCTCCTCTTCCAGACCAAGACACCCCCTGGGCTGAACCAAAGGTGGTAACCACTTCTCCTCGGTTACTTCTTGAGCTATATTTCTGGGAAGGAGTAGCACTGATTGGAAATAAAACAGGTTAATGTTACTGTGCTCATAGCTAAAGGGAGAGAGGAATAAAATGAAGTTACCTTCTGGAAATGGAAACTAGAGAAAAATCAAGTTGGTTTTATAAATCTAATCGGTGTAATGGGGTTGAACATACCCAGACCTTTCAGGAATTTCAGGAATGAGGGTCTGAGGAATACCAGGCCTAGGAGGAATACCAAATGTGTTTGGAGAAGTTTAAAGAAAGAAACATATTTTAAAAGGCTGTTTGTTCTTCTGGCATGGAAACTAAACAAAGTCAAACAAAATTCAACTGAAAAGCAAGTTTTGAATATTTTCCTTACTTACAAATTGTCAGCATTTTAGGATATCATCTGAGCCTGGAAGCATGGATAAGTCAAAAATTGCTGAGCATGTATAAAAGCTCACAATATAGTTCAAGGTAGAAATAAAAATAAAATGAAGTTAAACAAAATCAGTCAACTTTCCCAAGCATCTATGGAGGTGGAGACACAATAAATCAAGTCAACTGGTGAGCAAACATTCCCATTCTCCAAAGCTCAGCTGCCACCTTTGCACGTCTACTACCTGGCTGGTAAATTATACCTCCAAGAAAATGTATATGTCCCTCATCTGCTTAGGTGCGTCTAATCCTTTGGCTGTGAAACACTGCCTACAGAGAGGTCTGTAAACAAGGCTTCATTTAATGCACTGAATGAAACTCTGCAGGAATTACTTTCACATGGGGCACCACTGCAATTGGTGCCCTCATTCCTTCTTTCTAGAGGCAACACAAAATGAGCTCAACCAATTATCTCTATCTCCAGTGTTGCCTCTACTTGAATAATTTGTAAGTTACTTTCATAAATTACAAAACCAGTTTTCTGATGTCAGCTTTGTTAGCACATCACCAGCTTCTCAGAGCCCCTCCCTGTGATGCTGCATGGATGCCCATTACAGTGGGCCCTTTTGTGCAATCAGACGCTCACACAGGGCCAGTTGTAAACAAGGGGCTGCATGTTCAGAGAATATAACTGCTGCAGTGGCGCTGGAGCATCTAAGAGAAACATCACGATACACCAGGTTTCCAGGATGCCTTTGCAAGTCTAGAATGCTCGCTTCAGAAAGCAATTTGAGATTTCTCCAAAGCAGTAAGTGGACCACAGTAAAGCCAAATTGTTTTCAAAAAAATCCAATAACTGCACATCCCGAATGACTGCAGTGCTTCTGTCACTGCCTTTCTAAAGCGACAGACCTGAGAAATAGTTCTGGTTAGTGTAGAAGTAATCCAAAGCAGAGGTAGTGATTCCTGGCGGCTAGTATTTCCCTAAATGGTTAACATCACTGCTCCTGAGCCTCATCCTGGCGTGACAGCACCTGTAAACACTTCTACCTAGCAAAGCACTCACCTATGGGATTCTCTAATATAAGACATATCATTTACGGATTCCAAAAAAAATCACATATGATCTTTGTGGATTTATATGCAGTGGTGGCAGCACAGATAAAATATCAATTAAGTCAGTGCAGATTCACAGTGACAATAAAACTTCCATAAACTAGTTGTAACCTGAGTGAGGAACAATAAACAGGTTATGCAACATTATGACAAAGCTGTGTACTTTTCCTTTTTAAAAGTAAATAGTTGAGATTAAGAAAAGAAAGAGACCCAACAAAACACAAACTAATAGAACAGGTGAGAGCCTATTTGCCTCTACTGGCAAGACTTCTACGGCTCCCAGGCTTCTGAATAGATGGGTTGTTTTCAATAACATGTATCAGTTCCTGATCTAGGAAATGAGCCCTAGAAAACTGGGTGGAAAGTCGTTTCCTTAATTACTGTAAGAAACAGTAATTTTCCACAAAGGAAGGGAAAGCTGGGAAGGCAGAAAGCAACAGGCTTTTATAGTCAATTCACTACAGACATCCACATTGGTCTGCAGCTAGTAAGTTACTCTGTACTTAGCTTATGTCAGCCACAGGGGGAGAAGGGAGACCTGCTTTTTGGCACCTGAATCAATTACGATGCATACCTTGGAGAGAAACTTGGTGGTGAGAGGAGCTGATGCGGGCTACGAGTAGACGCACTCCTTTTCGTTAGGGGGGTGTCTGGGGTGGTGACAGCTCGCTTTTGAGAACCCTAGAAACAAAATGGAAAACAAAATCCCAGTCACTATGGCCCCAAACTGCTAATTCAGGGTACATTTCTGTATAGTTCCTTAGGAAAAAGGAGACAGTGCCCAAGGGAAGGGAAGGTAGAATGGGTGGGTTCTCTCAAGGACCATCTTCCAAACATAATTCCAGAAAGAAACCTTCAACTGCAACTCAGTCCTGCCATCCCCAGGACACTGTCCCCATTTTGAAGGCAATTATGAAAAAGTGCGAACAACATTTTCCGAAAAGGATCACCAGGTGGACGATCTGTTTTGTCAAGTCTTTCACGTGTTCGCTTTCTGTCCCCACCTCTCTTTGCTCTACAACAGATTTGAGTTTTGCAATGTATACAATTACACTTCTTTTGGCCAAGTCTACCACACATTTTCCAAATTAAACTCAGGAATGATCTAGGCAGATAACACAGTTGAGCTCATACTTGGAGAATAGTTAGCAAACACTTCATTGACGTTCACCTTTTTTTTTTTTTTTGGCTCATCAACAAGAATTCAAAGATAAGCCCAGAATGGAGCATGAAACCCACAGTGAGAGGACCTATTGCTCCCTACAGTCTAGGATAACTGAGTGCAACAGAGGAAAGAAAACTCTTGCCCAGCCGGCAATCAGGAGGCCGCCTAGCCAGAAGAAGCTTTTCCTACCGGAGGGCTCCTCCTGGCGGTGAGTTTAAGTTATGCCGCCCAGCTGTGGACTGGTGGAGACTGTGCAGGACAGAACGCAAGAATAGATTCAAAACCATCATTAAGTAGCTTCAATGCAAACTAAATTAAAAAAACTGTTATTGCTACTTCTTGTTTACAATAACCATTCTTGAATATTCCTTAATAGTATTTTAATATTTTTTGTTTTAAAAGCATATAAATTATAACTGGGCACCTGTGGCTCATACCTGTAATCCTAGCTACTCAGGAGGCAGAGATCGGGAGGATCGAGGTCCGAAGCCAGCCTGGGAAAGTTCACAAGCTCCTATATCGAAAACACCCTTCACAGTAAAAGGGCTGGCTGGTGGAGTGGCTCAAGGTGTAGGCCCTGAGTTCAAACCTCAGTACTACAAAAAATATACATATAAAGTATAGTGCCGAGGGCCTGGCTTCAGTGGTGGAGCTTCTGCCTGGCAAACCTGAGGCTATGAGTTCAAACCCCAGTACTGCTATAAAATAAAATAAAATAATTTAAAAAAATTACAGTAGTAATAATTTTGGTTTAAATATAAACGCTAGTTTAAGTATTTTACACACTGAAGTTTTCACTCTATTAAGCATTTCCTCAGATCATTACAGTCTTTTTTTGGCAGTACTAGGGTTTGAACTCAGGGCCTCACACTTGCTACGCAGGTGCTCTACCACTTGAGTCACTCCACCAGCCCTTTTTTGTGATGGGTTTTTTCGACATAAGAGTCTCACAAACTATTTGCCTGGGCTGGCTTCAAACTGTAATCCTCCAGATCTCTGCCTCCCACGTAGCTAGGATTACAGATGTGAGCTACATCATTATAGTCTTTATCCTTTTTAGTAGCTGCTATTCACTGAGCGGATGAGAACTTACATGTTTTTAATTTCTGGTGATTATAAACAATGCTGTGATGCACATATTCAAGCACATAGCTTTTCCAATAACTGGATTTTCTCAGGAAAGATTTTTTTTGGGGGGGCGCTGAGGATGTAACTCAGGGCCTTGCACATGCTCAGTATCTACTCTACCACTGAGCCACACTCCCAGGCCCCTCAAGAGAGAGTTCTACTAGGAAGAATTATTGAGACAAAGGATTAAAAAAAACCGACTGTGTGGTTTCAATATTTTTTCTCAAACTATTTCCCCAAAAGATTTTGCTAATACACAGTATTTCAACAATTGTCACGGGCCAGGCACTGAGGAGAGATCAGTGAATGAAGTAGTAGCCATTCTCCAAGTGCTGCCATTCTAAAGGAGGGAGACAGACCAAAACAAAGAATATACAACATGTCTGGTGGTAACAGCCATGTTGTAAGGAATAAAGCAAGACACAGGAGAAGAGATGGATTTGCTGTTTCAGACAGATTTGCCCCCAACAAGAGGACCTGCGGAGTGGACACTTTTGACACGTCTGAAGACCAGCAGGGAAAGCAGTGAGGCAGGAGTAGAGTGAGGAGGGTAGAAGAGAGGACAGAGGGAGGGCCGGCCCAGACAGGCCCTCACTGTTTCAGACTGTGAATGTTAGCAAGGAAGATGGAGACTCATGCAGAGCTGTGAGCAAGAAAAACCTGACATGAACTTTTTTTTGTGCAGTACTGGGTATTGAACACAGGGTTTGAGCATCTTAGGCAAGCATTCTGCCATGGAGCTACACCCCCAAGCCTTTGGTTTTGTATTTTGCTTTTGAGATAGGGTCTTGCCAACTTTGCTCAAGCTGGCCTCCGATTCAAGATCCTCCTGTCTCTACCTCCCAAGTAGCTGGGATTGCAGGGGCAACTGTGTACTACTACACCTGGCTGAATTGTCTTTTGATGGAAGCACTTGGCTGCTGTAAGGAGAATTAGCTAGAGGTGGCCATGGCAGAAAGAAGCAGGGACCAGTTAGGTTCTTCTAATCGTTCAGAAGGAGATGAAGAGGCTGTGGACCTGAGGTGACCAGATCCTGGAAGGAGGGCTGACAGGAGCAGTAGCTAAGTTGGATGTGGGGTATGAGGAATGAAGAAGATTCAAGGAGGTCTCCCAGGTTTCTTGGCCTAAGCAAATGGAAGAAGTATCTTTCACTGGGATATAGACTCTGAAAAGCCCATCTTTAGGAGAAAGACCAAGAGTTGAGTTATGGTCTCTACAATCTTAACAAAGTCTAAATCTCATTATTGCTGTAACATTATATGCTCCTGGCTTGTGTTTGCAACTTTGTAAGGCACAGTTTTTGGTTTTCTTGCTCTCCAGTCAGGTAAACCTAAAGTACTAACCTTTTTTCTTAGAATGTCATTTGGTTTGAAAAATTTGGGCTTATTCCATGCTCATGGATTTCCACAAATTTATTTGATGTGAAGAAAAATGACTATTGCTGAATACTTTGCATAGGATCTGGTACTTAGTCATTTCATCTTCAAGCCATCCAAAAGGGGGCTACTACCGCCTGGGTATCAGCTTCCTGAGTGCAGTGCCCATCCATGTCTGTTATATTTACCCAGTGTCTAGTACAGTACCTAGAACAAAGTAGCTGCTCTGAACGAATGAATCCTGATTTGACAGGCAAGGAAACTGCAGCTTAGAGAGGTAAAGCAACTCATCCAAGCCACCTAGTCTTTTGACTCAGACTTTGAAGCTAATACTTTGCCAGTGCCCTATTCAACTTCTCACACTGGGGTCCAACACAACAGATTGGATTATTCAATTATAGTACTACCAGTTGATACAAAACCATGCAACCATTAAAAAGGGAAATTATAGGGTAGGTGCAGTGGCTCCAGCCTGTAACCCTAGCTACTCAGAAGGCAGAGATAGGGAGGTTTGTGGCTCGAGGCCAGTTGGGCAAAAAGTTGGTGAGACCCCATCTTGATCAATGGCTGTTATCCCCAGCTAAGCCAGGAAACACAAATAGGAGAATCATGGTCCAGACTGGCTGGGCAGAAAGTGAGACCCTATCACAAAAATAACCAATACAAAATGGTCTGGAGAGGTAGCTCAAGTGGTAGAGTGGTTGTCTAGCAAGCATGGGGCCCTGAGTTCAACCCACACTACTGCCCAAAAAAAGAAAGCTAGAGAAATTGTATTTATAGAAATGTTTATGATATGCTAACTGAAAAAGCAGGATAACTATATGCTCCCAAGGATTCCTATTACATCAAAATATGCATTTGACTGGAAAGGAAGATTTATAAGTGGAAATACATAAGGAACCGTAGGAGAGTTTTTAATTTTTTTTCCCCCTTCAGATTTTATATGGTAATGTTTTTAAAAATGAAACTTCTAGAATATAATTTCCAAACACTGTATACTCACCTTAGAGGGTGTGGTATAAGAGTTCAAAAGGATCTCCTCTTCTTCCTCTGCTTCAATTCTAAAAATATTGGCTAAGAAAAACACTAATGAACTTGCACATAAGGCAAGGGCTGATTAAATGAGAAAACTGAGTGTTAGGTATTTTTTACACAGCAACTGCAGACAAATTATGAAACACAAACCCTTGGCTGGGTGTGAAGACCTTCAGCAGAAAAGGATACAGCTCTTGTATAGAAACAATGTCTCTGGCTCCTGCATGCCCACTCTCCTTGGAGGCGCTGTGCCAAGCTTTGGACAATTTTTTGCTCAGAATCTGAGGAATAAAAGATAGTGAATATATTATTCCAAAGTCTGGTTCTAAGGGAAGCATTTTCCATGGGCCTGAGATGATAAAAGGCATTCAAAATGTAACCAAAGATAGAAATTGCTCAAAATAAGAGTTAAAAAGCAGCATGACAGAATGAAAATAAGACTTATCCTGTAATTGTTTCCCTTTAGCACATAACGGTTCTCATAAGGATTATCTGATGAAGACCTACCACCTGCTGGGCAGTTTTAGGTGTTTTACATCCATTTTCATTTAGTTCTTACAACAATCATAAAAAATATAGGTTATTATATTAGAACCCTTGACAGAAGAAGAATCGAGGCTCAGCAATATTAAGTAGTATGCCGAAGTTCACATTGGAATCCAGGTGTGATTCCAAATCCCACACTCCTCTCCACAGAGCAGAACTACACATTAGTTTGCTTCCATACTGTTCTCACCTCATGCTCAAAAGAATTCAGGATCTCAACAGTGAGGCACGCTTTCCCTGAGCTGGTGCAGAAGGCTATCAGCTCACTTACCATTCCCTCCTCATTCTGTCCATACAGAACACAAAACTCTGCCACTGTAGGAAGGGAAAGGAGACAAGAACTTCATTAATTTTTCATAGCTTTCATCGTGAAATGTGAAAAAGAATCCTCAACTTATTCAGTCAATATTTATTCAGCATCTGATAGTACCAGGCACTGTTCTAGGCACTAAGAATACAGCAGTGAACAAAACAGAGAAGAATCCTTGCTCTCATGAAGCTTCTACCTGGGGAAGGGGGGTAGAAAAACAACAACAAACGGACAGAAAAACAAACAAGTAAAATATGTGCAATGGTAGATAGTTAAATGTTCTATGTTGAAAAATAAAGCAGGGAAGCCTGGAGTGGTAATACACATCTGTAATCTCAGCACTGAGAATATGAGGCAGGAGGATCTTGAGTTTGAATCTAGCCTGGACTACATAAAAAGACCCTGTCTCACAAAAAAACAAAAGCTGGGAGAGGGATCAGGAAGCTGGGGAAAAGGGCTGGCAATGCTAAAGTAGAAGCAGGATAAGCAAGGTCACTGTGGCTAGAATACAGTGAGCGAGGAGAAGAAAGACTCAAAAGGGTTAGGGGGTATTGGCCACTGTAATTACTCTCGCAAGTACTCGGAGCAAACTGGGGTACCACTAGAGTTTTGAACAGATGTGACACAATCTGACTTCCATTTAATAAGAGCATTCTGGCTGCTGCATTAGGCATACACTGAAGGCGACAAGGGCAGAATTCAGTGGACCATTTAAGAGGATAATGGCAAAACCTCCGTGAGAGATGAAGGTGGCTTGGATCAAGGTGGCAGCAGGAGAGGCAGTAAGAAGTAGTTGATTCTGGGTAGAACACATCCTGGAGATAAAGCCAGTAGGATCTGCTGAGTGGAGGTGAAGTGTGAGAAAAGAGAGTCAAGGATGATGCTGATGTTTTTAGCCTGAGCAACTGGAAAGGTAGAGTTACTGTTAACTAGGAGGGTCTCCCTCAGCAGGAGCAACTACTCTGAGGAGAGGGGAGAGAAATTAGATGCTTAATTTTAGACATATAGTTTGAGGTGCCAAATTAGACATTCAACTGGAAACATCAAGGGGCAGCTGGACAAACAAGAGGTCTAGGCTGAGATAGAAATTTGGGAACCATTAGCCAGTACATGAAATGGAAAGGCACAAGACTAGGGGAGTCCTCAAGGGAGTAAGTATATCCAGCAAGGAGAAGTGATCCCACACCTGAGCCTTGGGACACTCAGACATTATAGTGAGGATGAATCTTCAAAGCCTGAAAAGTGGACTGGAAGTGTGGCTCAAGGTGTAGAGCACCTGCTTTGCAAGCCTGAGAAGTAGCAAGGTGTGACTACTCACGCCTATAATCCTAGCTACTAGGAAGGCAGAAATTCGGAAGATCATGGTTCCAGGGCAGCCTCGGCACAAAGTTAGCAAGACCCTATCTCAACCAATAAAAAAAACTGGACGTGGTGGCATGCAACTGTCACCCAGCTAGGCAGGAAGCATAAATAGGGAGTTCACAATCCACGCAGGCCCAGGCACAAACGTGAGAACTTATTTGAAGAGTAACTGAAGAGGACTAGGGAAATGGCTCGAGTGGCAGAGTGCTGCTTAGCAAACACGAAGCCCTGAGTTCAAACCCTAGTATGGCCAAAAAAGAAAAATAACTAAAGCAAAAAGAGTTGGGGGTGTGGCTCAGTGGCAGAGTGCTTGCCTAGCAAGTGCAAGACCTTGAGCTGAAGAAAACTGGTAGTGGCAGAGAAGCTAAGACAAAAAAGTGTTTTAAAGAAGAGGAAATGGACTTCAACAAATGCTGCTGCTAATTCAAGATAAAGACTGAGAATTCATCCATGGCTTGGGCAAAGTGAAGGTCACTGTGACCTTGTTAACAATAACTGAATAGGTGGGGGCAAAAAAAGCTTAAAGGGATTTAAGCATAGATAGCAAGCATAGACAACCCTTTTAAAGAGGTCTGCTGTAACTGGGAGGGAGAGAACTCCAGTGGAAAGTGAGGTCAAAGACAGGAGCAAGAACTACATTTCTATGCCATTTAGGCAAAAAACTTTGGAGGGAGTAAAACAGGGACATGTAAGAGGGGAGAATTACTGGAGTGATGTCCATAAGTAGGTGGGAAGCAATGGGATTGGCTTTTGCAAGGAATATGGGCTTTAGTCATCGTAAAAGAAGTCCAGGTTTATGCACAGGCCTGTCATGTAGGTGAGAAGTAATGGTGGTAGTGACAGATTTCTAATACTATCTTTTCAACAAAATAGGAAGTAAGTTCATCAGCTGGGAGTGAGGGTGGACAGAAGGCTGTTAAAGGAGGAAGAGAAAAAAGTCACCTAGCAGATGCTGAGTGAATAGACCAGGGGAACTTGGAATGGCTGTCGGGCAACATTACAGTCCCATTGAGGTTAATAACTATAAATGTCAAGTCTACAATTCCAACATCACTGCCAAGGTAGTGTCTGTGAGATGGAACAGCAGGCCTCTTGTTCTGAAGGCTTTACAAATTCAGTTCATATAACTAATCTCATTTTGATTTCATGCTCACCAAATAAATTTCTGACTATGATCAGGATCCTCTTTTAAGTCTTCTTCTAAGCAAAGATAGTGTCCTTAAGGACTTAAAAGTATTCTGGTCTCTACGAAAGGAAGTTTTCATCAATTAACATGTCTTCATTCTGGTCTTATATTTAAAATAAGTTGTTCAAAGTGCTGATGAGTGGCTAAGGGAGGGCCACATTCAGCCCAATTCTAAAACTGAGAACCTCACATCTCCCAGGACAGTGGACTTCAAATGACTCTCCCAACTGGACCATAAGACCCAGTATGATGGAGTCCTGGACTGGGAGGCAGGAGACCTGGGTTCACACACTGCTCTGGCATCCTTGCCTCTGTTCCAACAATCTCCCTAAAGTTCCTTCCAAAGCTGAAGTTCATTTTCGGGAGCCCACCCCAAGGGGTTCACATTTGCACGACCACCAACAGCCCTGATGAGAAAAGCGATGGTTCAGCAGAAATGTAGGTGTGGACTGGAAATGGAGGTGCCAAGAATGAGAAGCTACTTGTCAAAACCCCCTACATCTCTTGTTTGGTTATCAGGGTTTCAACAATCTCCAACTCAGTGATGCCACAGGGGCCTAGAATGAACCTAGCGTCCCAATTCCCTCTTTCGGAATAAATCGGATTCCATATTCCTGCTTTTTATTTAGGACCCAAGCAGTATAGGCATTTTGAAGTCCCCTAACGCCAAGGCTCAGTTTAATTCTTCCTCTCAGAGCCACAGTGCCCTCCGAGGAGGGCGGTGACACTTGTTTCTGGACGCCTGGGGACGCGGGGCGGGAGTGTGGACCCTATGTGGGGTCCCGGACTCACATTTCTCAATCAGAGCGTCCTCGCAGTCCAGGCCGAATATCTGCAGTTCCTCCGCCAGGTGCTTGGTGGACACGGGCATGGTGACCCAGGAGGGGCCGGGATCCTGGTCCACTCGGCCCCGACCTGAGCCCAAGAAACCCGCGGGCGCGGAGGTGGACGAGCCGGGCTGTGACCAAATGGCCTAAGACGTCAGCCGTCAGTCGCAGAGAAATACTTCTTTTTAAAAATGCGGGGTAGCCCCAACGCGCAGAAATATCGAAAGGTCGCTCTGCAAGGGAAAACTTCTTGCTTCCAAAGAGCTGCAGTCCCACTTTTCAGTGAAGGGACCACGACCCAGCAGCCGAGAAAAACCCGCCAAAGAGTGTGCGCGGCGTGCGCATGCGCGAGGCCCATTAGCCCCGCCCCACGTGCTCTGCCCGCCCCCTCTCCGCTGCGCATGCGCAGCTCTCCCCAGCAGCAAGCCTGCGCCGAAGACCGGTTTGTGTTTTCGCCACGGTCTACCTCTTGTTCCCTGTGTCACCTCCTCCGCGAAGCTCCATGATGCTTTTTGTCTCCCCCAGCCCTTTGTCTATGCATGAGAGCGCCGTCGTGTACATGTTTCTGAGTGTCTAAAACTTTTGTGTGCAGCGCGGAAGAGGAAGGACGTGTGGTCCCTGCAGGACCTCTTTTCTGTCCCTATAGGCATCTCCGCCTTACTGTGCTCATGCCTTGTCCTAAAAGGGGTCTTCGGTAGAGAATCTTGGTTGCCATGGCTATTATCAGCCACAGGGATGGTTGTGTTTTCTGAAACGAACATTTTGGTGGATAAGGAATGGAAAGGTGAGCAATACTTTAGCTAGGGTGCCTTTGGGCTTTCCAGGTAGAGGCTCCCAGCGGGCGACTGGGAGTTTGGGGGTGGAGGTGGTTCACTAAGCGGAGAGTTTAAGGCTAAGATGAGAAGTGAGTTCTACCTCCGAAATACTTCCTAATTCTTTGAGCCAAAACCTCCATTGGCACGCTTAGACCAAGTAACCACGGGCATCGCGCTCCGCTAAAGGAACAGGTAGAGCCGTTCGAGAAAACGATTTGGCACTGTCAGGAGCCTGAAAAAAATGCCCTTCCTTCTTGACAGCATTTCCTAGCCTAAGGAAACTACCCATAATACAGACTAAGTGTTATGTACAAAGATGTTCATTGTACCCTGTTTACAATACCAAAAAAAAAAATGGAAGTTGTCTGAACACCCAGTGTTAGGGGATTGCTGATTAAGGAGCGGCATTTCTCAAGACTGTGTACCCCAGAGGCCAAGCACTTGTAGAGGGCACGAGATGGTAGATGAGGGGAAGGGGCAGGCACAGTTGGAGGAGTCTTGGCCTCAATCTGGATGGAGCGGGATGTGGTCAGGGGAGGGGTAAAGAGGAAAAATCACATTTATCTCCTTCAGGTCTCCTAACAATAGATATCCACAGAGCAGGGTGGGAGCTGTACTCTGGGTGCAAGAAATACGGGGGATAATGGTGTTCTATGCTACATAGTAGCTTGACACAAACCTTGTGGCTTAAAATAGCACCCCTGCATTAGCTCCCAGGCCTATCTGCAGGTGGGAAGTCTGGGCACAACAGAGCTGGGTTTGCTACTTACTCCAGGTATTGGAGGTCAAGCTGTGTTTCAAAAGATTTCTTCCACCTTCTAGTGAAACTGCTTCTAGTAGGTCTATGTGATGAGGTCAGGCTTACCTGGATAATGTCCCTTGCTTCAGGTCAAATGATTTGGGACTGTAACTACACTTTTTCACCTCCCTTTTTTTTCCGGTAGTAAGGGGTTTGAACTCAGGACCTTATACTTGTTAGGCAGGTGGTCTACCACTTGAGCTGCCCCTCTAGTGAAAAATCCCCTCACAGCAATACCTAGATTAGTGTGGGATGGGACACTGTCCTAGCACAATAAAGAAAAATAAAAAGTCAGGGCTGGGAGCTTGGTTCAGGTGCTAGAGCACCTCTGCAAGTGTGAAGCCCTGAGTTCAAATCGCGCGCACACACACACAGCCAAAGAAGAGGTTATTGAAACAATTTCTGGATATGTTTTGACATGTATAATGGCTTCAACATTGGGGATGGCTTCATTTCATGATAATTACCAAGAATAATGCTGAGTAGAAGAGAGGAGTTAAAATGACCTGCGCTTGAAGCCAAATAAGCTACGTGTGACACTGGTCCTCAGTCCCTGTTCAGTCATTTTCTGGGTTGCTGGTTGTTTCATCAGAAGCTAGCATGGGAATTGAGTCAAAGGACTGTTGTAGTTTTTTTCTGGAAAGCTTTTGAACCATTCACATTAATTGTCCTAGATTATACTCAGTCAGCAGGAAAAATCTTCCAAGTGCTGTCACTTGGATTTCCCTTTGTGCAACTTGCATGTTTGCATCCTTTGTCCTTTTCTCATCAAGTCGCAGGAATTCTTTATGTACCTGAGACCAAGGCTTACAAACTGTGGCACTCACGCCATGCTCAGCCACGGCACTTGTTGCTGTAAAGCCTGCAAATGCCTTTTTTAAAATGATTACTTTTATCATTTTAAAAGATGATAAAAAAGAAGATTAAAATATTTCAAGGTGTGTGAAAATTATATGCAATCTGAATTTCCGTATCAATAAAGTTTTATTGGAACACAGCCACACCCATTTGTTTAGGCATGGTCTCTGACTGCTTGTGTACTACACAGACAGACTTGAGTAGTTTCAGTAAAGATCTGTGAGCCCTGAAACCTCAGATGCTTGCTGTCTGCCATAGACAGCCTCTGCCTATCAAATGTGCTGCTACAGATTTCCCCCAACCTGTCTTAAAGCTTGCTTATGATTTCTTCTACCACAATTTTGATAATCTGTCTTTTCCTTTATGGTTCTTAGGTTTCCTGCTTTGCTTATTAGCCTGCATTTACGCAAATGTTCTAATTGTCACTTATTAATTTAATTACATTTTCCCTTTAGCGCTCTTGTCTCCCTGGAACTAATTTATGATGTGGAAGGATTTGGCTTTGTTATCAGTATATCAGTGATACCTGGTAAATAAGACATTCCTCTTCAACTGACCTGAGCTGTAATCTTTTCCTTTATCAAGTTTTTGTAAACACATGGATCTATTTCTAGATTTTCTATTTTCTTCCACTCATCTACTTGATGTTTTTTTCCTGTATCAATATGGTTTGATGGCAATAGTGTATCAAGTAGGTTTTGTCCTAAAACAACTGTGACTTGGACAAAACAGAAATTGATTTCTCTGTCAGATAAAAGAATTCCAGATAAGTAGCCCAGGCTACATGTTCATCTTTCTGCTCCTTTGTCCTCCAATTAACCTCTACCATTAGGTTCACCTCATAGCCTCATTATGGCTTCTGGTGTTCCAGCCATCATATTGACATTCCATTCCAGGTAGCAGACCAAAGGAAGAGGAAAAGGGGAGGATATGAGAAGGGACTCTTTGACGAAGTATTTCTAGAAGTCCTTCCCAACAACTTTTGCTTAATATTAGTCACAAAGCCATGTCTTTAAGGGAGGCTGGAAGTGTAAGTTCACAAGTTACAAAGCAACATTATTGGGAAGACTCACTGTTACTCCCATTAAAATTGGTTAATAAGGAAGTGGGTAAGCACCTAGCAGGCTTCGCCTTAACCTTTGTAAGAACTTTAAAAAAAAAATAAAGTCAGCTGGTGGAGTGGCTGAAGTGGTAAGAGTGCCTGCTTAGCCAGCATGAGGCCCTGAGTGCAAAGCCCAGTACCAAAAAAAAAAAAAAAAGCTATTAGCTAGGCACCAGTAGCTCACATCTATAATCCTGGCTGCTCAGCGATCAGGAGGATTGTGGTTCCACACCAGCCCAAGCAAATAGTTCGAGACCCTATCTCAACAGGAAAATCTGGGTGTGGTGGCCTATACTAGTCACCTCAACTACAGCAGCAAAGATAAAATAGTAAGATCACAGTCCAGGCCGGTGCTGCAAAAAGGAAGACCTCATTGCAAAAACAACCAGCACAAAGACGGCAGGAGATGTGGCTGAAGTGATAGAGCACCTGCCTAACAAGCCTGAAGCCCTGAGTTCAAACCCCAGTATTGCAAAGCACAAAAACAAACAAAAAACTGTTGAAACATTTTAGCCATTTTTAAGTTTTTTTCTGGTGGGACTGGGGTTTGAACTCAGGGCCTCATGCTTGCAAAGCAGGCACTTTACCATTTGAGCCACACCTCCAGTCCACTCTGCTCTGGTTATTTTAGAGATGAGGTTCTGTCTCACAAACCTATTTGCCTGGGCTGGCCTCGAACTGCTATTCTCCCAATCTCAGCCCCTCAAATGGCTAAGATTACATGAACCTTTTACTTTTTATCTTTTTTGTTTTGAGTCAGGGTCTCTCTAGGTAGCCCAGGCTGGCCTCAAATTCACCATCTTCCTGCCTCTGTCTCCCAAGTGCTAGAATTACAGGCATGCGCCACCATGCCTGGAACCATTTTGCACTTTTAAAAAATCATTTTATACAATCCATCACACCCTCATCCACTCTGATAGGAAGTACTTAAAATTTTCATATATTTGGGAAGAATAGATACTTTTGATATTAAGCACTCCAAAAGGATCCTGGTATATCTTATTTTTCCCAGCCTTGATTTTTTGTCTGTCAATACAATATTACCATTTTTTTCCCTTATAAATCCTCACTCGGTAGATTGCTCAATTTACTGATTTAATATTTTTGTTGCTTTTACGAATGAAACATTTCCCCCATTTTATTTCCTATTTGATTATTATCAGTTTCAAGAAAAGCTATTGGTTTTCAGATATATGTCTTACAAGCAGTGACTTTTACCAAATTCTCTTAATTAATTTTAATGTTTTGAGAACTCAGATTTTTCAGATTGTAACATATACAAAGACTTTTTTCAGCTTAAATAATAAAAATACAGTGTAATAAAAATGCACTGAGAATTCTTGGAGTGGCAGATGTGCCCTCCCTTTAGGGAGGGAGTACCACTGCAGAAAATCACCACGAAGTCACACACCATCGCAATCCCACAGCCAATGCAGAGAGGAGATCACCTCCCAGAGAGGGTTGGTCTTCAATCTCCTTAATCTAAGCCTTATTATTTTTGTTTTGTTGTGGTGCTGAGGATGGAACCCAGGGCCTTGCCCATGCTGAGCAAGCACTCTACCATTGAGCTAACTGCCATTCCCTCCCCAGCCTTTTTTTTTTGAGACAGGGTCTAACTGTGTAGCCCAGGCTGGCCTCAAACTTGTGATCCTCCTGCTTCTTCTTCCCACTGCTGGGATCACAAGTATGCACCTCCATGCCTGGCTAACTGATTGAGATATGGTCTCACTAACTTTTT